GGTGACCCGGGCAGCACGGCTGGTAGCCCAGTCTCTATTATAAAACTGTGGTCATTTTCATTTAGGGTAAATCTCAACTAGAAGGAAAGGATAAACTACTACATTAATAATCCATTTATCCCAACGACCGTCTTCACCCGAATACAACATACGGTAATTATAGCTGTACTTGGGGCAACTTTGAGTCTAGATACAGCAATAATGACCGTGCATTGTACTCGGGTGAAGACGTTAGAATGCTATAATGAGCATGAAGCCTCAAGGACAGCAAGGCAAATGCAATGTCCCTAGTATATAGCCTGGGCATTGAGGCACGGTGAACAAACAAATAATAAAACAAATAGTGAAGGTGAATTGAAAGAATTCGAAAGAATTCGAAAGATGATGAAAGATTTGAGAGAAGAATACAGCGTAGCTTAAAAATAAATAAATAAATTAAGAAAGAAAGAAAGAAAGAAAGAAAAAACAAAAGGCACTCTAGGTTGCCTCTAGGTTGCCTTCCTTCTAACCTGCACCGACAACAGTCTTCTGATCCGTCCCATGTGGTGGGGACCACAGACGTGGCTCTGCTCATCTACGGGGAATCCTCATCCTCCAGAGTCGGAGATCTGCCTGTGCTATCCCATGTCGGAACTCCTTGTCCTCCGGAGTTGGAGACCTGCCTGTGCTATCCTATGTGGGGACCACATACCCACATTGGTGTGCTATCCTCTGTGGGGACCACATACCCTAACTACAGCTTACAACTTACAAGATCAAAATAAAATACAACACACTCGCCGCATTTTCTTACTGTATATCCCACTCGATGAGTATCAGGGATACACAGAATATTCCACCACATCTGAGCCACATCCGTCCATCCAGCGATGTTTATAACAGCTCGGGCGTTTTTCCGGGCGTCCAGGCACCCAAGTGTTCTGCGCGGATTCATGCCCGCGTGCCTGGCCACGCATGAACACCGGGGAGTGTCCCGGGCAGCCCCAGCCAACTAACAAAAACAAAAAAACAATCCAGAAAAAAAACATGTTGCGTACAATTGCAATCCAAAAGACCTACCTCCTTGCAGCCCTCCACACCGATAACGACCTTGTTTTTTTTTTTTGTTTTTTTTTTTTTTTAAACGTTCTTGCAGTCGAATGAAGACGGCAGTAAGCAGACTGATCGCCAGTCGTAGGACTTGCATGACCACACCTTTTTCTTTTTTTTCCTTTTTTCAGAAGATCGATTTGAACTTGCGAGGCCAGATCAGGGAGCTACGGGGTAGGTATGGTCACATCAGCTACTTGTACGACGGGTGTGGGCAGGCGTAAAACTCGTACGGCGACTCCACGCGAAGGAGGGGAGGCTGTCGCATACCGTAAAAGTGCAGACCAGAACAAGAACCGACCTCTCTCACATAGTACAAGATAGCGCAGCGGAAGGCTAATATACCAATGATCCGAACAATCACTGTTGCAATGCAGACCAAACATACATCATCATCGTTCCATGGTGTGAAGGGGCCTGGCGCTCACACAGGAAGAATGCGCCAGTCCCCAAACATACACAGACGAACAAGAGGGGGGTTAGACGAAGAAGAGGGGAAGATGGGAATGTCGTCAACACCAAGTCTTCCGTACAGGTCCCAAATAATCCCTCGTCCAATGGCTCAATCCCAATGTGGAGTCTGGATCCAAATGTCGTCAAGTCCCAAAGTCACCAATCTCTCTCTCTCTCTCTCTCTCTCTCTCTCTCTCTCTCTCTCTCTCTCTCTCTCT